CAACAATGTGACTACATTGTCATGGTCACTTTCCTGTGGCAAACCCTTTGCGAATGTTGTTATGATGGGAACGGTCCTCCAGCTCTGTATTCTTCCTAACTATCCACCATTATCCAGAAGTTTCCATAAGGCTTGATTTTGCCAACTCTTTGCTCTGTGGGCCCCCTCTCTTCTCTTTTCTCTGAGAACTGAAGAACATGAAAACTTCTCAGAGAACTAAGAACTCTCTTCTCAACAAGTTGCAATATGTTCAAAACTGTGCAGTTAGACTACTTACTTACCAGTTGGTTGCATATAAAGTCACATATTATACACATATGCGATCTTGCTACTAAATTTCAAGGCTCTAAATAATCTGGCTCCATTATACATCTCTGACCTCCTCCATGTTTACACTCCCTTCAATAGACTCCAGTCAGTTGAGGCTACACCTCTGCTCACTGTACCCAGGACTAAATCACGTGCATTTTTTTGTGACCGTGTCTTTTCTGTCGCTTCTCCATTGTTATGGAATGACCTTCCTCAGACTCTACAAGAGCCAGCTTCTTTGACTCTCTTCAAAACCAGACTCAGAGCTTACCTTTTTACCAAGGTCTACGTCTGATTGACCTACATCTGCAAAAACCTGTATGCTTGGTTTTTTTTTTATTCTTTATATTTTATTGTACTTATTTTTTCTTTTTTTGTATTCACAATGTGCAGCATCCTTGGGTTTGGAAAAGTACAATATTAAAAGATGTTGTTGGTGTTATTATTAAGTTTCCAGTACTTAAGTCTAGTTTCTAAATCCAGTTGCAGGTCTTGCTGATAATTAAAAGTTTAACTCCACACCTTTTACAGCATTATAAGCTGTGCCTGCCGTTTCATTGACTGTTCCAACAGAGCAGCCATTTTACCTACTACAGGAGAATCCAATTCCTTCAGTTGCTTCTTAACTGAGCAAAAAGCAGGTTAAGAATCGGCTTTGTTTTTTCCTTTTCCCTGCCATCTGAAATGGATAACCAGCATGATTATAATAAAAAAAGAGAAGAGGGCTAACAAACACAAATGAAAAGGAGAGAGGAAGTAGCAGAAGCTCTAATTACGAGGTACCGTTTAAGCATAGCAGTCATGTGATGTCTGGACTACTTTTTTCTCAATTTCCAATTGACAATTTTCTCGCCACTGCCGACTTCAAAGCAAAGCATTCTTTGCAAAAAACACACAGCTGGAAGAAGGCAGCCTAATGGACAATTAGACCACAATTAGACTCCAATTATAATTATCGTCTGTCCATCCACTCATTATCAGAAAGCTGATTATCTTGTGAGAACTGCAACAACACAGAATATATCCCAAATAGAAGATGAGACTGATGGGGCCATGGAAAAAAGGCCTAATTTGAACTTATGCTGCATGTTTTTTGTAGGAGGTAGAAAATTGTACAATCCTGTGAGAACCCATATGAATACAGGTAAACCATACTGTACAAACCCAGACCGATATCCGAGTCTGGAATCAAACCCAATGACATCTAGTGTTCTGGCATTAGAAATCATAGAATCCTTTTCCCCCAACTTGTTTAGTGGATTTGTTTAGAAATTTAGTTCTGATGCATGCTGAACCTATAAATTGAGCTTCTGCTTTTGCATTTCCTTCAAAAAGAGGGCGATACAGATTAGAAAGCCTCAATAACATATCCATAGCATTTTATAGTCACACATGCTCTGGCAATATGATTGAAATTAATTCAAAGCTATATAAATGTGTTATACAACTGAGAACTTCTTAATTTTCCATTTCTTTGATCTCCCTGAGCATATGAAAAAAACATAGTGTTGGAAGTTTTAATCAATTCGTATCTGACAGCAAGAAAATAAGATTAAACTACATGACTACTAAATAAGAGTTCCCCTTGAAATATCGTTTGACAACTATTTAAGTTACACCACCAGCAAAAGCAAAGTAACCATATAACTGAATAAAGATACAGAAAAATTAAAATGGCAAGCAGATACAGAACTAAATTAATATACCCCGTTTAAATCGGAGAGGTGCAAATTAGGATAATGGAAATAGTAACACAGTAAGAAACGAAGAGAACTGCATACTACGACTCCAAATAGAACATAGATATTGACAGGCATATTGACATTGTCATTAATTAATTAATTAGGCCTGGTCATGAAGTTGAAGTTAAAAAGTGTTTAATATAAAAATATGTTTAAATTGAAAGTTGGTGAAAAACATTTTTTTTATTATAAAAGACAGAAAGTGGTAAAGTATTGTTGTTGTTGTTGTTGTTTTACTAATTGAATCAAATGAGGATTAACAGTACCAGGCAGATACTGAACTTTTTTACTAGGGGAGCTCTTCCTGTTGGTCAGCTGGAGCTTATGAATAAGCTACAAGCTTATTCATACCCTTGATACAATGTAACTGAAGGCTGATTTTTTCAAAGCAAAAAAATGTGAGTGTACATTCAGTATCTGTTGCATCACCAAATGAAAACTGGCTATCGTACAACTATATCTATCCTACAAAATTATACGTTTTTCCAACTATAATATGATGTTCAAAATTATTCATCAAATTAATTTTTATTGATCCCACTGTGTTTATTGATAACACAGAGACAGGATTTTTGAAAATTCCTCATGCAGAATGTCAGTAGCTGCTTCTAGTTATGAAGTTTGTGCTTGTATACAACTTTCTTCAGTCCAAACCAAAACATTTCTATCGGATTTGTTTCTATCGGATTGGGGTTGGGGGATTGTGCTGGCCAATCAGGAATGGCCAATTGGCAGTAGATTTGCTACTTTAGGCCATTATCCTCCTGGAGGATCTGTCAATACCAAGCGTGGGTTTACTACCAGTGGAACCAGGTTTATGTGTAGAATCTCTCCTGATACACGTTGGAATCCATTCATGCCTCAGTTTTAAGAAGGGCATCAGGATCAAATAATGCAAACTACCGTAACCCTAAAACAGATTCTTCACAGATGGGATGACATTCTTTTCACCTTGGCCTTAACCTTTCTATGTTAATCATGCCCCTTGTGAAAGTGTCCAAAAATTCCAATTGTATGAGTTCCACTTAACTCAGAAGTCAATTAGTTGTTACTTGACAAATTCACCACTTTAGACCTGAACATCTTGAACATGATGGGCAGCACAATTGAAACTGGGACGTTGGACTGTATGTACGTTTGCATATCCATCTCTAGAGTTGTTGAGGTTCATAATCTCTTAGATCCACAGATAATTCTGTCGTTCTTCATGAAGGATTTAGTACTATGTTTTTTACACAGCAGAGTCTCACAGCTCACAGTGTCGCTCAAAGTGACTTTATAGGATACTTCTGAGGTTTTGTATTGCATTTCAATAACTAAACTAATTGCAGGATGTAATTTACAGTATTTTTCCAAATATTTACTTTATATGAACACATTTGACCATCGTTTATTTAGAAATCTGTCCAATTATCTTTTAAAGTTATGCTCTTTCTAGGTTTGGAACTTCTTGTGACACATTTTTAGCACACTGTAATTCAAAATGTTACTGTATGTGCTAAATCAACTTTTTCCTATAGTTAAACAAGAGTATGAGTAATTTGGAGGCTACCGTATCTCTGTGCTCAGGGAATGCAAGACAATTCACTCCCAAGCTGCCTGGTACTTTATCTCTGTTGAATTATCTCACTCCCAAAGCTGTTGCTATTTAATTTGTATGAATCAAATGGAAAGTCCTGGTGTTACCCGCAGCTTAAAAGCTGTTTACGACATTTGGAGGGTGACAAAACTGCCTTTCAGGGCTTCAACACTCTAACTTCCAACCACAGCCTTTTGCTTCACATTAAATAAGTTCAATCACAATCAGTACAAAGCCGAAATCCTCAAAAGTCCTAAGCCTTTCTTACAACTGCCCTGTGTTCTGTGCTGAATGGAATGGCGCTGTACTGAAACTGGTAATGCAGCACTTTAGATGAAGGATTTCTCACAGGAGACAGAAATAGTAACTTCAGTTTTCCTTTGGTTAGTTTTGTTTTTTGGCATGCATTGCATCTGATATTTTCCCAATTAAGTGCAATCGGTAATTCATGCAGACTAGTGCATGCAAAAAAAACAACAACACAATGTGGGTTTTGAATATTCTAATTACTGCCAGAGAAATATAGTGTCATTCATGGGACACTCCCTGTGAGAAAAGAACTGTTCTTAATTAACACATGTGCGCCTTCCCCGGGGAATCACTATGTACAAGACCTTGAAATACATAAACATAAGTGTTTAAACAGCTTATCCCTTCCATTTTTTGTCGTCATGTTGTTTTACCGTGGGTAATGTACAACACAGCAACTTGAAATTTATTTTTATGAATCCATGCAAACTGGTAATGGCGAAAGCAGTTCTTACAATTTATGAATAAACGCAGATTTAATCATTCACTTGTGGTTTTCTACCCAGATATTGTGTTTTTAAAGATCAATTACGATGCAGTACAACAAAATCTTTTTATGCGGATATTCCATTCAGACAGAAAATGATCTGTCGTCACTTAATGCTTAGCACCAAGTTGAACTCCCCTTGGTAATAGTTGCTTTCCCTGTGTTAATGAAGGCACCGGGTTTCCTATGCCGCCCCAAGCAGCTGTTGTTATTCTTATGTAAACACCTTGCCATCACCACACAACTCCATAGCACCTGTTTGAATTAATTATTTCACATATATTTGTTTACACTAGGACGGCAACCACCTTTCTGTTTAAATCCTAAAATACCAGTACCACAAAATGCATTAAACAATGTAAGAACAGAAAATACAAATATACATACAGCACTGTATTGGAGGTCTAACAGCACGCAGTCTGTTAGAGGTTTTACTTTTAAACAACTCCTGAAACATCGACAAAATTAATTGATCAATTGAAACAAAGAGAAGTAAACAGCACAGGCAGTATTCAAAAGCATGCTTTTGTATCTGTATACAATACTGAGCAACAGGCGTCATATGATTGCTTACCTGCAACCGAAACGACATCCTGAGACACACATACCAACGCTGTTATCCTAAGACGCTAAGCCATGCGCTGTAGGGTACTATTGTTGCAAACAGAGATTTTAGATTAGGTTGGCTGCATCCTGAGGCGATTGATAACTGCATTCTCTTAAACCCAAGAAGAGAAAGTAAAAAAAAAGGAGGAGTCCTGGAGAAGAGCAGTCTGTGTTTTTCGGGAGTGCTGCCTGAAATACTGAAATGAATGAACGCTCAGTACTGGGAGGTCTGTTGCCTGATAGGAGTTTCATCGAATTTAATGGTCTTGTCACAACTGCACACCCTTCCCTTTCTCCTGCCTTTGCAGGCAGTACTCTTCCCAGCGCACAATTATCTTGCCACGGTCATTGTCTTGAGAATTCAGAAATCCCGTCGCATTCTGTTAAGTATTCAGACAAATCATCTTTACTGAAACGAGCTCCCGGTGAGCATCACAAGTACTGCCGATTAATGCACACCATGGACGCTCCTTTATGCTTATCCACAATGTAAAACACTTCGCATCTGTGATTTGTGTGTCTTAAAGGAAACCACAGAATAATGCATCTGTTCTTTCAGCTGCATCCTTTTTTTAAGCCACAAAATAGTGATTCGCTTATCCATATGATGCCCACGGTCTTGGACTCGATCACAAAATAAACCTGAAGTGTTCCCTTATATACAGTTTTGCTACAGGAACCACGAAAGCATAGAGTAAATAAGTTCTTAAACACCAGATTTTCATCCGATTTTCAAACGCTGCATGTGACGAAGTAGTTTGCAAAGCCCAAAACATGATCATTAGATTAAAACGAAACAGACGAGACGTATACACATATGTTTCAAAAACACAGCATCGAAAATATCTGGAAGGTTCTTTAGACAAAATGAAAGAAGTGTGGGCATGGCAGTGGGTCAGTCATTTCAAGTTTTGCTGGAACATGGAAAACTGAATGTGCTGAGCGCTCCCCTACACGGATTTAAGGAACCAAACACATGGAGAAAGTGAATATTTTTTACTGGTTTGAGAAAACGGTATTTCGACAGTGACTAGCTCTGCGTTGCTTCTGTGTTTTTGTTCTTAGTCAACATAAGACAGTTTCTCGTTACCGCAGATAAAATGTGCACATAAAATGAGCATCAGAAATGGCTAATCAAAAACGTCAACATCAAACAAGATACATTTTTTTAGTTTTCTTCTAATTCTAGTTGTACTTCATCTTGTTTCAAAACCATGCTGTACATTCTTAACTGCACTGAGATTCGTGTCATCTCTTTTTAATTTTTTTTTAACGCAAGTAATGAGTTCAGTCGGTAGCATCTACTTACAAGGTTGAGAATAAAAACGATGAGTGATTAATTTCGGTGAGTGAAATATACTGATGGAAAAAAGAAACGCAACATTTTCTGGAATGAGAATACTATAGTTGTAGTTTATGTACTTTCACAAAAAGCTGTCAATTTGTTTTAAGCCCTCTGGCCAGCAATACAGCTTGAGCAGTGAGGCATTGCAACTTGCCAATCACATGAAAGCTTATTTGGTGCACTTTTGCCCAACAAGGTCCAGGTGGAACAATGCCTGATCAGATCACCTTTGAAAAGGCCTTAATTCTAAGCTTAGGTCACTGTAAGAAAAAGGCCACACTTAGTCAGTTTTCTGTGCATTCCATAATGCCTCAAATGTCACCAGAAGCAAGGGAGAGGGCCATTGGCATGCTGCGGGCGGGCATGTCATGTGCCAGCGTTGCCAAACACTATGGAGTAAGCCGCTCCACTGTGTCCCGACTGCAGAGAAGGTTTCAGCAGGACAGATTCCTGTCCAAGATCTGGTTGCCCTTTAGTGACCGCACCAGAGCAGGACTGTCACATCAGACTGGTCCATCTGAGAAATTGTTTCAGATCTACCTCCCATACTGCTGCTGAAACAGCCGGCAGACACAACGCCCACATCAGTGACAGGACAGTGAGGCTCCATGCTGCTGGCCTTAGAGCAAGGCGACCTGTCAGAGACCCTCTGCTCACACCTCCTAGATGTCACACCCGACTGGCTTGGGCCAGACAGAGGCTGCGATGGACTCGTCATCAGGGCCTCTTTAAGGATGAGTCACTCTTCAGTCTGTTCCACACAGACGGGGGCGCCAGAGTGTGGAGGGGGAGGTGTTGCATTTCTTTTTTCAATCAGTATAATACCATTTATAATGTTCCGAAAACCTTGATTTTATCATCCTTATAGCTGGCTGATATCCACAGCCATTTACAGACTGCTAGTAGTCTCAGGGATTGAAGGAAGTAATGTAAAACATTATCCATCATGAATTCTGTCATTGGAATGATATGCCTTTCCCACTGATGTGATCTCCAGTCTCCAAAGAGCAAAGCTAAGCTATTTTAAATAGCTTAACTATATTTTAAGTAGCTATGTTTTGGCCCATTTTCAGAAGTGATAACCATGGCCCAACATACACCCTTCATTCACACTGGTAGACCACGTGTGTGCTACCTGGGAGTGTGCATATCATCAAATTCTACCCAAGTTCAACTTGATCAAACAGCTTTGAGCAGAGCCTGACTTGTTTGAAAAATGCCCTCCTGGCTATATTTACTGCTTTCTGAACAAGCTTACCATTTTCTATATTTCTTGATCTGATAATCCCATATAGGTTTATGTGATATTCTAATACATTTTAAGATTTTGTAAAAAAAAAATCTCTATAAAAATGTATAGTTCAGCAGGGCTAGAAAGTTAACCCAAACTCCAGATGATTACCAAATAAATTTAATTTTAGATCATCTTTAACTGAAGCCCAAATCCCTTTGATCTTTTTTAGCTTATTTGTCCTTCAACATAGAAAAAATAATTCTTGGAAAATTGGACTTTAAACAGTGGTATGTACTTTAGCTACACTACAGAACTACACGGTTTCTCTTTCTTAACCAAACTTGGACTGAATAAGTGGAAAAGCCATCGTAAACAGGTTAGGAGAGCTGATTTTTGTGCTATTTATAATGTCTTTGTTAAAAAAAACATAAAGTTATAGGACAGTATAATGCAGCACTAAGTCACTACAGAATAAGTGAGGAGGTTAATGAAAGGTTGTACAGTGCTCTAGTGGTCACCCATCTGGAAAAATGTATTCTGTTTTCTTTTTATGTAATTGACTAAAAGGCAGTGAAGCTTCAGAACAAGTTTGAAAGTTCAGAGAAGAACAAGGCTATAGTTGGCACTGGAAGGAGTAAGCTGCAAGAGCAGGTCAAAACACTTCCAATTGCTCCGAATGGGAGATCAAAGGCTAAAACTGTAATGAGGAAATAATGTAGAAAAGTGGCGCACAATTAAGTATATTGCACTGAGTTCCAAAGGTAGGAAATCAAAGCAAGACAGTGAGAATGGGTTAGAAAATGGCAGGAACCATATTATAACGGGTATATTGTGTTTTAGCACTACAAATTACATAATGTATGGCAAGACTTCACCAACATACAATGTTGCACTTCAAAGACACACTGTACAGTACAGTGATGTATTATTTTAATAGTACAACATACTTATTAGGCTCTACTGTTTTCACTGGCATTTTATAAAAACAAAAAATAATATTTGATTTGTTTATGCTGATATGAAAAGTGAAAGTTATGGTCTTGATTTGTATTAATTTGGCATTGTGGAGATTTCAGCTGGAGTCATGCTCTTGTTATATGAAATTGAAGTGGCAGCTGAAAACAAAAATAAGATGTTTTTATCTTTTTCTTTTAAACCAGATGTACCCCCTCTTGAAAATAAATGGAAAAACCAAATGCCAATTAATAAGGTTCTATTGATACAGCCTTTTCATCTTTCTCAAACAAGGTCTGTTCGCATTTGAAAACCAGGAGTCATGTTCCTACTGGAAAAGATAGATGCATTTCCTGTTGGCTAACTTGTATGGTGCATCTTTACAGCAGCATAGATGTAATGCATAGGTCTTAAAACTAATGGAAATATTACAAATGATAAAGCTTGCTAGTAGCACTAATCTGATTGTATATATAGCAAGTACTATGAAGACATAATCCTTCTATGCTTCATTAAAGACGTGATAAATACTTTCCCATAATTTCTCTAGGACCTTATAATTTTATTTAACAAATTCAGAATAAATTATGTTTATTTCCATGCAGATCTAGGAAATGACTATGGTTAACTAGCAGTTTAGATCATGTTATGCTTATTTATTGTTTCACTTTTTAAAGTTTATTTCTTATTTGTTGCTTTCATGTTATAGATGCATATTTATTTATGCTCGGTTGAACTGTTTTTGAGCAAAACTTGCCACCTACTTTAGCAAAGATGGTTCTTGACTTTTAGAGAAGCTTTCTCTGAGTTCTATACAGAGAGACCAAATTATAGAAAGTGTTGCACATGTATAATACAGTGACACTGTGGTGCAGTCCTTAAAATTGCTGCCTTTAAGTGCTGGGGACCTGGGTTCAGTTCTAGATTTGGGGGGTTGTTTGCTTGGAGTTTGTATGTTCTCCCCCTGTTCTGACAAGGTCTATGCTTTCTTCCCACATTCTGAAGACATACTGGTAGGTTAAATGGCTTCTGGAAAAACTGGTCTTGGTGTGAGTGTGTGGTTGTCTGTGTCTGTGTGTGCCTTGAGATGGACTGACGTCCCATCCAGGGTGTATCCTGGCTTGCACCCTTTTCTCACTGGGATAGGCTCTGGCTCCTCCGCATTGGATAAAGCGATTAGAGAAGGGATGGACAGGTGTTTTCACATAAGCATATACAGTATAAGGGAGCATGGGGATATTCATTATAATTTGGTATTTTGGGTCATCTGAAGTTGTTGACAGAAAGGAAAGTTTAAAAGACTGGAATTTGGTTAGTAATAGAGTCCCATTTAAGAATACAGAGGAATTTCTTGATTAACGTGGAAACCAGTCTCTCTTCATTGATGATGCAGAAAGCTTTAAGATTATCTGAATTAATGAAAATAGACTTGTTTCCCATTATGACCCCAAAGAGAGGTACAGGTACTGTAGCTATGAGGACTGGGTACAATTCAAAATGGCAGAAGAATTTCAAAAGGCAAGATGGATGGAATCTCAAAAGGCCAGTGTTCTCCAAATCATCCATCCATTTTCAACCACTTCTACCACAACACCTGTCTCGGCAAGCAAGGGGCACAAAGCAGGATACATCATGGACCGGACACCAATCCATCGCAGGGCAGAGACACAAACATGCACACTTTTTTAAGCCAATTAGTACCAATATGATTCTGGACTGTGGGAGTAAACCAGTGCCTGTGGACGTAACCTTAGTGAACATGGGAAGAACATACAAACTCCACACATACAGCAGCACAGCGTTTACCAGTTCGCCACCATGCCTCCTGTACTCTGAGTCAATGACATTGTTGATGGAGATAGAAAGTCAGCCTTGTGAAATAATTTGCTAATTGAAGTTAAGTTGGACAAGAGTCCAGAGTTCCATTTTTACATACACTTCTGATGATGGGAAGGTGGAAAAGTATAAATAAATGCTGTTGGTGCGTATCACTAGGCAAGGAGACAAAAACTTTGGAATTGAGAAACATTCCAAAGATCAGAGAGGGAATTGCTATGAAAATCGTTAAGAAGATGAAGAAAGGGAAGTCTCTACTAAAGAAGATCTGACAGAGTACTTGGCTATTGAAAATCAGCTGTTGA